AAAAAAAAAAAAAACCCACAAAAAATACTCACAGAATCTCCCTATTTTTCAACCATTCTTCCCTTTATCTGTAAGATTTTTACATCTCTAGGATATATAACACCAGCAGCAAAGCTTAATATTTAGCAGACATCACAAATAATTCTTCATAGACTTTTTATGTTTGTTTAGGAAACTTCCGTGAAGTAAGTATGGGCCTTAATCCCATTCAAAGAAGCTCACTTATCATGACATTTTTACTATCATGAAACTTGGTCACCGTCTTATATGTTTCAGCTACGTGGTGTGAGATTCCAAGCTGCTTGCTAATGGAGTAACAAAGAATTACAAGGCATTTCCCAAATTCAGAGCAATAAAAACCAATGACTGAATTTTAAAAGGTAAGAAAAAACTTCAAAATCAATTCGTTTTAAATCATGAAGTTAACAGTTCACAAATGTGCAAAGAGAACTTTCTTTATCATATTAAGACTAATTTACCAAGAATATATTTTAGATACACTTAGTACTGAATTATTTTATTGGGCTGGCTTATCACAAGCCAAGAACTTTAGAAAGTTGGTATGAATCTCTCAGTACTTCTAAGATTTTTAGTCCTATTGTGTTTGTGCACATAATGAAGAAATTATCACATACTTCACAATGCAGCTGGAATGCTGAGATAATGTGAAAGTTGGGAAAGTAGAATTGGACCTATTTTCTGCTACTTTACAGTTTAAATTCTCCGTAATTTAATAGGTTTTCTGCATGTCATCCCATTGCCTTCTTACCTGCATGGTTTTTGCTGAATAATCCGAGCATAGTCTTATTGTTTTCTCCTCTGTACGTGACTTTTTGTTTTTCTCGAGCTGCTCTTAACGATTCTTTGTCTTTGGTTTTATCGAGTATGATTATGATATGCCTTGGTGATTTTCTTTTGGGGTCTATTCTATATGGGGATCGTTGAGCTTCTTGGATGGTCAGCTTTTCATCTTTCATGATATTGGGGAAGTTTTCTGTCAGCAATTCTTCAGTGATCCTCTCTGTGTTTTTTGTTTTCTCCTCCTGTTTTGGAACTCCTATCACTTGCAGACTTTTACTTTTCATTGTATCCAACATAATTCTCAGGGTTTCTTCATTCTTTTTTCTGATTTTTTGTCAGAGTTGTAGCCAAGTGTTTGTCTTCAATTTCACTGATTCTGTCTTCCATCATTTCAAACCTGCTCCTCAGCCCTTCTATGACACTCTCCATTTCTGAAATCTTGTTTATCTTCTGGATTTCTAATTGTTGTTTTTGTATGATTTCCAGTTGTGAATTTATTTTAGCATTTTGTTCCTGTATTATTTTCCTGAATTCTTCCATTTTTTTTGTTTGTATTTTCCGTGAATTTGTTTGCTTTTTCCATGAATTTGTTTATTTATTCCTCGTTTTTGTCTGCTTTTTGCTTCAACTCTTGGATAATTCTGAGAATTAGAGATTTGAATTCCTTATCAGTTAGATTTAGTTCCTTCTACTGGAAGGTCATCTGGTGTTTTTTTTATTTTTGATGCTTACTGTATCCATCCTGTCTTGTTTTCATAAATGTTTTGATATTGTCTGCTGTCTTCAGGGCATTCAGGGGTTATTTTCCTTGTTTATTGATTGTAAATTTGTTTTGTCCTGCTTTTTTGATTTATTTGGTTATGTCTGAGCAGGTGGGCTGTGCATTGTTTGTTGTTTGCTTGTCTGTGGGCACAGTACTTTCCACCTTCTCTAATGGGCAGGGTCACTCGGGAATGGTATAGCAGGGCAGGTCCAGCTGAAGGGGAGTTGCTGGGATGGGTTGTTTGTGGCACATACCAGGGCTGACGGTGCGGACTGGGAATCAGTGCAGGGTAGGTTCCAGTAGGCTGTGCCTGTGCTGCTAGGGAGTGAGATGCTCAGCGCACGGTGCAGGTAGGCAGGAAGGAGGGGGTAGACTGTGACGTGTGGAGCTGAGTATGGGAAAGATGAGAGAGAGGAGAGAGGAACAGGGCCCAGAAACATATACACAAAGAAAAGAGCGCTAAGTGAGGTTGCTTTTGAGGTGGAAAGATGAGAGACTGAGAAATGGGGAAGAACAAAAATGAGAATAAAAAAATGTAAGAAAAAAAAGCATAAATCAAGAAACTAGAAATGAAGAAAGATGAA